AATGTACTAAATCTCAGTGAAGGAAGTTTAAAAAAACAATTACAAATTTACAGTAATTTATTAATTGACAAAAATATGAATTTACCGTTTGGTAGTAGAATAGACTGCCACTTGGTGCAGTGGAGACGTTTATGACCGCTGTACATGATCTTCTGGTTATATGTTGGTCGGCAAATGGGGCGCGCCGTCCCGTCAATAAAGGCAAAAACATCTGGGAAAACACCTCCTTTCTGTGAGATAGCCGACGCGTACCCTGCGAGATCTTCTTCTGACAACCAGGGATGATCCAGGCGGGAAAGATGCTTCGACCACAAGCGATCCAGTATTGACAAGACCGCGTAGAAAATTCTCGACATGGAACCTTGGGAACGTCCAAAAAATTTACGCAGTTCAATCCATCGATTTGGATAACACAGACGGCGCAACAAAATGCACAAGGCCTCCACAGCATTCACACAGTCTCCTTCTGCAGTCCACACCAATTCCGGAATTTTAAGCGCCGTCGCCAACATAGGAAGATCATGCTTCTTAAAGCGGAAAAAATCCCAGCATTCCTTCTCGCTTAAAGCATTCAGGCTAAATGATGCTGCACGCCATTCGTCATGAAAATATGTTTTTCGTCTCCGTCGAAGTATCTTACGTCGCAGAATTAAAAACAGCCGTCGAGAGATATTTTTCCGGAGATACAACTTCATTAACGTAGCCAGTTTCATTTTTAAATAAACTAAAGCGAATCTGAATCATAAATATTTAAATTCACAATGTCAAGCTTTTTTTGGAACTGAAATGCGACAGATAGTTGTCGTGATTTTGACATTTGTGGCAAGTCACTTGCCGCAAGTGGTAAAACTGCTTCGAGGGCAGTTACGTTGCTCGCTTTTCGTACTTCCGCCGCTAGCGGCCGAATACTCAAAAGCAGGCCGAATACCAATACAAACACGATTTTAATTTGGATCGGTATTGGGGTCCGTATTCGTGGTCAGCAGATTGCTTTCTATTAAAGGTACTTTACAGTATACGATGTATAATAAATGAATCACGATTCTCACTTGCGCGCTTGCAGCTACTTTTTCCACAGCTTTCCCACATCGGGTTTTTCTGTTGGTTTTGTGTTGTTGCTTTATTGTTATCACAATAAAGGGATATTTGCCCCATCTTTCCATCTGCTTCTGTGTCATATCTGACATGCCGAATGTTAGTGCACGGAGTAAGAGATAAGGAAAGGCGATGTACCAAACACTAAACAGATAACTTATATGCGTGTACACTAATATACGGTACAGTACTTTCTCTAAGGTTCTTCTATCCAGTAATTTATAATAATACAGAAGTGCAGTACGCAGTACTTTGCGCATATTTAATACTTCTATAGCCCGTCTCGCCGCGCAATTTAACCTGCTACTAACGCCGGGTACCAGAAGGATTGCGAATACCAATTTGAAAATTGGTATTCATCGACAAAAAAGTTAAATTAAGAAAAGGCACTTTTTGTGTAATTTTTCTGACCGTAGGTCAAGCATGACATCATGATGCCGAAATGACACGCATGGGACTGCATGAGTTATTTGGCACTGTAAAGTTTTTCTCAAAAATTAATTCATAAAAAAATAAACTGAAACTGGACACATCATTTCAAGTTTCTGTTTCGTTGCTCTGTAGCGCTCTGTAAGATTCAGCGCTACACCATCTGTAGGTTCACTTTTACAGAACTTCCGGCACTTTAAGTTACTGAACGTATGTAAAGTGTGCGGCGAGAGGGGCTTATGTCGGCCTATCGATGTCGGCTTTTCCCGCATGAAAACTGGGGTGGATTGGCGATAGATCAGGTTTCCCTTTGAATCTTCTGCAGTCCCCAACGGAGAAAAAAGCTACCCCTCAATAGTAAAGAGATCTGGCCAGTTAAAACAAAACGCCCTGTGCCAGCTTTTTTAAGTAATTGTATAATTGTAAGTATACATATGAATATCGTTCGTAAATGTTAGGTATAATTTATAAATGAATCAATAAAGCAGTCTTCTATCAGTCAGTATTATAGATGTTAGGGTCAGTAAAAGGAAAATTTACTCATTACTTCAACATCCCTGCGTGTAATTCAATCCCCCAGTTCTAAATACTTCTCGAAATATTTCTAGCTTCGCTTCGGTCTTTTAGTGCGAGCGAGCAGCGGTGCACTTCCCTAGTTGAATTATTTGATCGATAGATCCTAGTTTAGGCTGCCTAATTCGAGTTAACGGGATCGGGATCGGTAAAATACTAATTTTATTTCTACAAGCCATCAAATTTATTGATTTTCCGATTTCCTGTTACTCGTATTTCGAACTTGGGATTCTTTTCCTCCAGGCTCCAGCATACTAGCCATGATTAAATGTATTGCCAGGCTGTGAACCGCAAATGTTTTTCCTAGATTTTCCATATTTTTGCCATCTGGAGTTTATTTTTTTGGAGTTTATTACAAGTTTCTTTCTTGGATAACTGGTCACCAACAGGTTTATTTGCCTTTTTGAAGTAGTAAGGGCTGACTCTTTTCGTTCCTGATTTGCACTTCAAGAGAGATGATTTCTGACTATTGGAGCGTTGTGTGCTTCTCGAAGTGCGAACGGGGAGAATTTTAATAATACAGTAGTACAATGTTGCGAGAAGACCAGAAGATAGGCTGGTACAAGCCGCCAACAGTCTTGGTGGCGAATTCCCCCAGCCGGATAAAGTACAACCTGAATTATATAATTTTCCTTAATTAAAGGCAGTAGTAAAATATGGGTGGATAGGATTAAGTGAGTTTGTGGGGGAAGATAAAAACTACGGAGGAACCGTTGGCCAAGGTCAAAAAGACGAAGGGATAAATAAAGGAAGGAATATTTTTGGGTCAAAAAGACGAAGAGATAAATAAAAGAAGGAATATTTTTGGGTCAAAAAGAGGAAGGAATAAATAAAAGAAGGAATATTTTTTGGTCAAAAAGAGGAAGAAAATTTCGAAAGTCAAAAAGGAATTAAATTTTTTGTGTGGTGAAAACCTTAAACGGCAAACGCAGTTCACAGGAAGCAAAAATGGCACAATGGAGTCTTCTGAGATGGCGAAGAAAACTGTACGCAGACTGTCGGTTTAATGCATCTTTCGCAAATACTACTGAATATCGTTATACAGGAATAGTAAATCTCCGCCACAGCACAAAGCAATTATCTACACACTGCATGCATGATTTCATTCGTTTGCATTTTCGCCCGTCAGAAATACTCCCAAGCATTTTCGCCCGTTAAATATGCTCACAGCGAATCCACATTGCATACAGAGAAATGGCGCAGTCTGTTCGCCGACCTGCCCGTGACCTTTAGTTGGCCGGTTAACCCACAAAGGCCGCTTGATCCTAGAGCGGGTGCATGCCGACCGGGTTACCTCGCAGTGCTGTAACCGTGTCATGCCATTTTAGCCGCGACTAAATGCCAGAAGGTGTGACCAGACTTTCTTTCTGCTGATCATTAACTACTGAAAAACACTAGGACCATGTAAAATTTTTTTTGTATTTTTTAAGGTGATCTAAACTACGGTATTTTTTATTCTATCATATTATCATATCGTATAATGGCATTCTTGTATGGCAACTCATAATTTTATCATGCCATTGTTTAGTTAAGTACTTCACGCATATTTATGCTTTTTTGTACAGGCCGATATCTTCTTCTAAAAACGGGCAGTGTAAACGCCTCGGTTAACTACTTTATTAATTTGTTGCCTCAGACTCAAGTCGATTCCTGCCCCGTGATTTCCGCAACTCTAGTACTGGACAGTGTCCGCAGACGAAAATTTTGGCAATGCAAGTTAGAGATAGCAGATTGGTGGCGATTGGCAATACTTTAACGCCATGCAAAAATCGATCACATCCTCCTGCTGTATAACTTCTGCACAGGACGAAAACAGTGGCGATTATAAGGAAACTACAGATTTGCGCTGAAAAGTGATAGGGAAAGTTTGTTCTGTGAAACGTAGTCATTTCTGTAGGTTAACTTTAGAAACCTTTAACACCTCGTGAGCAACATACGTCAACGTTAACGCGAAGTGAAGAAAGTATAAGAAAAATCGTAGTGCTATTGTTCGTGCCGCTTGGTAGCTGCTGCGAAGGCTGTATCATGCGATTCTCGCACTGGCATCCGATGGCGACGCATATTCAGTCCAGCAGCTGGACTGGGACGGAATGGTTCTTTCGTTTGTTTTTAACAGCGTGACCGTTGATTTGAAAGGGATCGCTCCGCTTTCGCCGCACTGACGGGCCGGTCGGAATGCTGACTGGAGAAACGATAGCGAATAGCGATGACAGTGTGGAGAAGGGAAATACACCGTATAGGCACTCCACATTGTCGTCACTCCGTGGCTAGGATTACCTGCGGCATCTCGGGTTGCGGTGCTTTCCGGCGGGGATGCGAGTGATAGAAGGCTGTGCTGTGCGGGAAATCACGCTTCGGTGTGTGCGTGGCTATCAATGTCAACATTCCGTGTACGGGTGCCCGCTGATCGACTTTGAACGGCGTCCAGCTCTGCACGGACTAACTGTTCGGGATTGTGGGTACTGCAGGGATCGGACGGGGGTGATCTATGGTTACTTAACGACGCCAATGTTTCACGGCTGCTGATCCTCAATGGTCAAACAACTGCAAGGAGATTGTACTCCAACGTACAAAGAAATTTACACTGAAAACGTATTCAGCGGTTGGCAACGCAACGACGTCGGCAGCACGCAGAAGAAGTAAACTACAGTGAGTAAAACGATTAGTACTGTATGAGCGCAAAGACCGGTTGCAGCATGTTGTACACATATTATAATTATATTATCTGCACTTTTATGCATATTCAATGGTACATATATTTATTGTTTTTTTAAATTGTCAGTTGTCGGTTAAAATACTCAGTAACTGATAAAGACTTAACTTCAGAATCAGCAACGTGTTCATACGATAGCATCATAGCATACGGGGCGCAGCGAAATTCACCTGGGCAAAACAGCTTCACGTTACTGTGTCATGGTTCCCACAGTCTGGAGAGTCGGGTTATCCATCTGGGTGCCAACTGCCGTAACAGATTTCCGAGCCTCGTCAACGTGGTCATCCGTTTGGGTGGCAATTGTTGCAGCTGACTTGCGCGGCTGCTTATGCAGATGTAGTGGTGGGTGTGGTGCCGACAACGGCGACTGATGTCCCGGGTGTTTGGCTAGGAGCGACTTCAGAATACTGATATTCTGAGTGAGCAAAAACCACACTGGCTATGATTGCATTCCATACAACGCAGTACCACTGCATTTCCATAGTATTCTTACGGTCTCGTACGGTATCCCAGGAAAATTCCCAGGGCTAGCTGAAGAAAGTTTCTCGGGCAACAGCTGTAACTTTGGTGACGTCTGCGGGGCATCGTTTGCTCCCAGTTCCATGCCTGCTTCCTCTCCAGTGGGAAAACGTTTGCGCTGTTTCTTTTTCAGTTGAGAATCGTGATTGCGGTCTTCTGCTGATTTACGCTCTGCATTCCCTACAGCATGAGCTTGCACTAATCTGAAAAACAGAAGACATTATATTTCAACATCCCGGTCAGTAACTAAAATCAGAGGGAAATTGATTCATCGTTCTACCGGTGAGTAGCGACCATATCTCCCCGTGGACTGATGTATTGAAAATCGTTTTCTACCAAGCTACGTTTGAAAGCTTGGGCGATCGAGTCCAGGTCGTGATTGTAGCGCCGGCACAGTTCGTTCAGTCGCGTTCTGCTGAGTTGACCTCTCTCTTGGTACGTGGCGATATTGGGGAAATCACAGTTGTTCCACTTTGTAATGGCACGAACAGCCATTTGGAAGTCGTCATGCTTTAGTTTACATATGGTCATCAAGCCCCGGTCGCAATTGCCAAAGCTGGAGGGATCCTGTGACATTAAGCGGACCAACTTGCAAAGAAAATTATGATTTGGGAAAATCAAAAGAAATGCCACGGGGTTAACTACCACTTACCCGATCCGTAAGGACACTTCCCAGCAATTTTCTCCAGTTAGATATCATTTCCCGGCTTGCGTCACACGAATTCTTATGTCGCAGACATCCATGTGGATCAAATTGAATATTACGTGAGTCGTATAAATCGACTCCGCTGCAAGCGAGACCTAGTGTACTGATAGGATTGCCGGCATCTGACGAATCGGCCTCTTTGCAGGTGAAATACAGTGTTTTCCGGTAGAGCTGAAGTAAATCGGGAATCGAGACGTCAGCGCCTGTCAAAGCGGTAAACTGAAATTTTAATACTGGACGCATATCTTTTAAATCCAAGCCCGCTACGACATAATTATTATTACGATGCGCAGTTCATCGTGTCGCATAGGCATATTTGGCGCGGCCTCGTTGCTTCGCCAACAAGGTAACAAAGGGGCGCGTCACCTGCTTACCGGGTTGCTTCGTTTTTGCAGCAGGTTTGGCGGACATTGTGTCGGCTCGGAGACGAACTGACCAGCCGAGTGAATGTTGGCAACTCTGTGCAGTGGTGTGATTATCAGTGGCAGGATTTGCCCCGTTATGATGACGTTATCCAGTATCCATTAGTACGGGATACCGTTTCTATGCAGTACATAGCGGCATAGCAATTGACTGCAATATCAACTTACAAGCAGCAGCTTCCGCTTCACCGCCGCGTTTTCTGCTGCTCCAGGACCGCTTGATCCGACCACCGGAAAGGGAGATATCCCGGGATATCTCATTTCACTTTGAAATGAGATATCCCGCGGAGATGAAGTCGGAGGCAATACGTGATGGATATTCTTTTGTCGCGTTCACGTGTCTTTTCTAATGATTTTCTAGGGGGCTACAATTTCGCCATTCCAGGGTTAAGTCAAGCACTGGTTGGACAAACATACCCTTCTAAAATCGAACAGTGGCATCATGCAAAAAATTCCTAATGCAGATGTCGCTGCTCTGACATGAGAAACTGTTTGGCGTTGTCTCTTCATCCACCTTCGTCTGTATCTGCAAAACATATGATTATTTTAATAATACATATACCCTGCTGGTTAAGGCTTGGTTATCGATGATCGAAAGCAGCATTATGTAACTTACGGGCGGACACTTGCCCTGCCTACTCATGAGGTTACACCTCCACGGAACATTCTTGTCGAAAACCTTTCTGCGGCATGTTTCAGTTGCATCCGCATCGCAGCTCGGCGTTCTGCGTGACTGAAGAAGCGTAAATATTCTTGTATCATTACAGGCGCGCTGCACGTGTTCATGACAAGGTGTTAACTGTAAAGCAGCGAGCTGGGCGGTATTCGTCCACAATCGGCAAAGGTCACTAGTCAGAAACACCGCATCCGCTTTGAATGGTGTGTACAGTCATCTGTGCTGCTCCACGCCGCTTTTACGCAGTCCGATTTTGGCACGGTCAGTGGGCCAGTAGAGTTTTCAGACCGAATCACGGTGTGTTGTTAAATGGCGGAGTTCGGCTAGTTCAGTTAATCACTTTCCCGGATCAACTCGGAACCGGCGCTGACTGCGGTGTACCGGCATTCGACCGGTCATTACAACGCAAAATTGACCTTCACCTTCTGTAATACACTAATTATGCCAGCAGCAGCAATTCAGCCGTTATATACGCGGTCAAATCCGAGTACAGCCAAATCCGTTCAGCGTTACCGCATTCGAGGATGTCCAGCTCTCCCAAATCTCCCAACCGGTTTTCTCACTTCAAATAAACATACCAACATAAGAACCAATCAGGGTATACTAGTGGTGGTTGCTAACCACATCATTGCACCAGCGTCAGCGCCACTGCCACTGGAAAATGGTATTGAGATCGCGGAACTGGAAAAGCTTTTCGTGGCGTCAGACAAATTTTATGCTCTTGACGAAAGTTTAATTGCAGCATCTCGCTGCGCTCGATGCAAACAACCAGAGGTCACGACATTTCCAGCAGTAAATGTTTGACTATATCTATATCTATATATATATATATATATATATATATATATATATATATATATATATATATATATATATATATATATATATATATATATATATATATATATATATATATATATATATATATATATATATATATATATATATATATATATATATATATATATATATATATATATATATATATATATATATATATATATATATATATATATATATATATATATATATATATATATATATTTGTTAGATATGGAGGACATGGTGGTACGGTGGTATACCGCAGTGATTAGAAAAGTGGAAATCCGGAGGATGCTGACAGGATCCTGTGGGATACTGTAGATTCCAGTCCAAGCAGATGGCCAAAACATTTAGCGTGTTAAAGAATTTGGCCCGGTACATGGTACCAAATTCGGGTACATGCACGACAACTTTCGCTTTCGCGCACTCCCGAAAACTAATTTGCATTGCTTTATGATATTCTGTAGCCAAAGGATCCATGTACATAGGCGAAAAAACCGTTTGTGCGCGCAACATCCGGTTCGGGAGTTACTAGCGAAATAACATTCCAAAAGTTTAGACGCGCGGAGGTGTACCAAACGTCTCGTTATGAACCGATGCTCTTCAAATTTTGCACGAAAGCGCACAATACTATGAAGATGTCGTTTTGGTATCGAACCAGCTTTCTGCCACTTTTTTAACATTTTAAATTAATTTTTTAAATTTTCGAAATTTATTTTAAAATTTGAAAAAATGGTAGAAAGCTGGTTTGGTACCAAAACGATCTTCATAGTTATGTGTGACTGTGTTTTCGTGCAAAATTTGAAGAGCATCGGTTCATAATGAGACTTTCGGTACATCTCCGCGCGTTTAAACTTTTGGAATTTTATTTCGCTAATAACTCCCGAACCGGATGCTGCGCGCACAAACGGTCTTTATGCCTATGTGTACGGATCCTTTGGCTACAACATATCATAAAGCAATGCAAAAAAGTGTTTGGGAGTGCGCGACAGCGAAAGTTCCCGTGTATGTACCCGAATTTGGTACCATGTACCGGGCCAAATCCCTTAACCGTGGCTTGGGTGAAACATGTATATCACAGCACGCTGTGTAACGGGAAGACGTTGCGAGATAGTCAGGCCGGGATCCGGAAGAGTAGTCTAAGAATCACCTAAGGATAACCGCCAAGGACGTCCGCTGCCGATCGATTCCCAAAGCAAATTGCATGGACCAGCACACATTCGGCTTTATTCGCCGGTCTGGTGATTGCAGCTTGCGCATCTGCACTGCGTATCCGTACAACTATGGGCCAGTGTTACAGAAATCAGAAGATATTAATTGGGATGTAGCGTGGAACGGAATACTGCCTGCACCTTCCCAACAGCAAAGGTCAAGAGACAGCCGCCGCGACAGACGGCTGACCATCGCCCACGGCTCGCGGCGGTCCCGCCCATTAACCGGAATAATCCGCCGTGTTGACCTCGGAGGGTATACCTGGCAGAGTTTCCACGCAACCGGAAAGATGCAGCGGTGCAGTTCCACAATGCAATACTACCCGTGCTCCAACGAGCACTGGGCAGCGTTCTTCTCATTTCAGGACGCTGTTGCGCTGCATTCCAGGAAATGCAAATAACATTAACCAAGAGCCGCCAGATACAGTGTAGGAAATGTTAGTGGAGCACGATTCAGCGCTGCGCGTGCGCCCTTTTTGCCGGATACTGTACTTCCCGCTATTGCGATAAACGCCTGCGTCCAGGCCACACCCACTCGCGTGCCCTATCACAGCGCAGCCGCCACACGGCAGACCTCCTCTCGCTGTTTCGCCACCAATGGAAACCGTTCGTCGCGTTGCACTACTTCCGGGTGCCTGGTGCAGGCACACGGCCCCACGCGTGGCTTCGGGTCTTCAACTTCGCACACCACATTGATCGACAAACAACTGCCATCCATTCCTTTGGCAGTTTCAGCAATTTTTGACAATTACTGGGCGGTAACTGTATTGGCAGAGTTACCGATAGTAAGCAGCGGTTGTGCAACGCTGGCGCAAATGGCTCGCGGACTATTCTCTCCGGCATTTCGCCCGCTGCGAGTTGCTGGCGAGTCCATCAGTTACCAGAACAGCGTCGTTGTGCGGATGGAAGACGACACTATTTGCCTGGGGTTCATACAGGACATTGCCGCTGACGCGGTGCTGGTGGAGTTTGACTCGTCCACGCAGCCGGCGCGCCGCATCCCGGCATCGCGCGTCTGGCCGATGAAGTTGTTGCCGCGCCCTCTGTGTCCGACCGAGTGCTGTGGATACCGCAACATGCCGGTCTTCGTGGCTCTCCGCGAAGAATACGCCGGTCCCTTCCGCTTCCGTCCCGCCACGGTGCTGCGCTGCCTGGGAGAATGCCAAATGTACTTGATCTCCACGAACCGGCCGGGAACCGGCTCCGCGACCAGTCTCGCCGCGGTCGATCGCGGCCAGATAATGCGGCGGCTGCCCGGCAGCGAACCGCCGCTGCTGGCCAGAACCAGCGGCCTTCTCTACACCCAGCATGAAATGGCTACAACGACGTTGTTATCCTGCGACACAGCGGTGGCCGCGCCGTCCTTAATTGCCGCTGTTCGTCACGTCTATAATTCCCTTTCCCACCCATCGCTCAGCGGCGTCGAGGATTGCTGTCGCTTCCATGTGCAAATCAAATCTTTGTCCACGTGTACATTTATTGTCGTGGCCAGCCGGAACGACACCGCCACCGCCAACTGGACCGTAAAGGCACTGCACAGGACACTGCAGACGTTTTCGGATAGTTACCGCTGCTCAATCCTTCATCCGCAGCGGACTGATCAATGCCGTGAGAGTGCGTCTGTTCGTTAACGAAATTCAGATGCCCATGCAGTACATACCTACTATAATAATCAATTCAGAAATACCGTAATTATCGAATTTGAGCCACCCCTAAGGTCTTTTGAAAGTTATCCCCCC